TATACATTTTCTCAGTTTAAACATTTGATATGTCATCTATGTTGTATTCTGAATAACATATTGAAATTTGAAACTTCCACATCATTGCATTCTGTTTTTATTCACATTTTGTACAGTGTCCCAACTTTTTTGGAATCGGGTTTGTATATATACTGTATGTATTGAATAAAGTGTATAGAGTATATATAAAATAGTCAACATCTATATATATTTTATATTTATTAAAATGTATTTTATTATATATTATTCAAATAATTGTCGCTCAGTTTACTGTAATTTTTATGTACATATCTGAGCAGCTAGGTTGTTGCTTGCAATTTGTTTTTTAAAATGTCTCTAAACCATGAGCATTTCTAGTCTGCAATGCGAAAAATTTTGTAACTGTTTGTGTAAAAGTAAAACACAAATAATTTAACAACCTGAGGGAAAGGAGGACTCATAATATCATAATGGCAAATCCATCTGGAACACAGGACTTTCTGCTTGCGTAGAAAATGCTGTTAACCTGTCATCATCACAACTGTTTTGTTAATTTAATGTGTCTGCACCTCGTGTAAAGAGAGTTACCAAAAACCAGGAAAGATTTTGAGTGCTCTAGTTATATTATGTGTACAAAGATGTGGCCGATATGGTCTTTTCCTCTGTACAATGATGTCATTTGTGTACGTAACATGAGGTGTGACTTGAGTCAGAGCATAAGAACTTTATCGTTTTTAGGATAAAATGCCTGTCAACCACAAAAAGTGGTTTGGTTTGTCTGACAAAAAAAACATCAAGTGTTTAAAGAACTATATAAACTGGATGTTTGTACTTTCCTTGAGTAAATATGAGTGGTGTTGCTGCCATGATGCTAAGGTGCTATGGATAATTGCAAAGATGTTGCGATGTAGTTAAGGTTTTTTAAAATGTTTTTATTCATTTTGCTGCATGTTTGCTAGGATTTTCTTCTGACTGGCTTTAATGTGTTATGCGGTTGCTATGGTGTTCTAACTGGTTTAAATTTGTTCTTATGTGGTTGCTGGGGTGTTCTAAGTGGTTTTGATGTGTTATGTGGTTGCTATGGTGTTCTGAGTGTTTCTAATGTGTGACTATGTGGTTGCTAGGGTGTTTTAAGTGGATTTAATGTGTTAGGTGGTTGTTAAGGTGTTCCAAGTAGTTTTAATGTGTTGTTAAGTGGTTGCTAGGGTGTTCCGAGTGATTCTAATGTGTAGTTATAGGGATTTTAGGGTGTTTTAAGTGGCTTTAATGTTTTATGTGGTTGTTAAGGTGTTCTACGTGGTTTTAATGTGTTATGTGGTTGCAAAGGTGTTCTAAGTGGCTTTAATGTGTTATGCGGTTGCTAGGGTGTTCTGAGTGGTTTTAATGTTTTATGCAGTTGCTAGGGTGTTTTAAGTGGTCTTAATGTGTTATGTGGTTGCTAAGGTGTTCTAAGTGGTTTTAATGTTTTATGCAGTTGCTAGGGTGTTTTAAGTGGTTTCAATGTGTTATGTGGTTGCTGGGGTGTTCTGAGTGGTTCTAATGTGTTCTTATGTGGTTGTTAGGGTGTTCTGAGTGGTTTTATTGTGTTATGTGGTTACTAGGGTGTTCTAAGTAGTTTTAAGATGTTATGCGGTTGCTAGGGTGTTCTGATTGGTTCTAATGTGTTGTTATGCTAAGTGGTTTCAGTCTATTACTGTGTGGTTTCTAGGGTGCTCAGAGGGGTTCATGCATGTTGCTTTGTGGTTTCTAGGGTGTCAGATTGATTTTAGTGTGTCACTGTGGTTTCTAAGGGTTTTCTAAGTGGTTTCAGCATGTTGCTTTGTTGTTGTTAGTGCACTGCTTACTGTGACCTTATTCTATGCATCACACTGATGCATTAAACTGCTGATCATTACAGGTCATTGTAGAGAACAAAATCATAAATATGTAGTTTACTTGCTTTGCATCAGATAAAACTTTGGCAAAACCAGTGATCATTTCCTCTTCCAAAGTGCTGGTTTTATCAACCCCAAGACCTTATAAATAAGTCTCCAGACAAACTGATACTCTTGAAATTTGTGTAAAGTCAGCCGGCCTGACTAGAGTTTAGTGTGTAATATGCATCAGACGGTCAGTGAACAGACATACTGTGTTGTCTAAGGCTGCAGGAAATATAGAATAGTGCAGGAACACATGCATGCCAGTTTTGTTTTGAGAGCATAATACTGACACAGCCAATTAGGGAAAATGCTAATGCACATCCAAGAGTGAAAAAGGCTGGAGATGGAAAAGTTTGCGAATTGCACAACCTTTTTCTTTTTTTCAGTGTGAGGGAGACAATGTTTTATGTCTGTTGGCAATTATGTGTATACATGGCATATGTAAAAGAAAATCTGGGAAAGAATGTTCTTTTCTTTTCTTTAGACTGCATGTAGTTCTGAGAAGAAACTATCTGGATTTCTGCATGATTGGCTTCAAAAAATGTCCTCTGAACCGCATCAAAGTTTGTTGTAGCATACGACACAAAAGCCTGTGTTTCTGTTTCACCCCTACAATGTGGCACCATCACTGAACAAATGTTCATTTTGTGAGTCTTCACGTTGTGGAGGAGGATTTGCCACAGAACACCTGGTTTCCTCCAGAGCACTGTGAACTCTGCTCCAGTGCTGCTGAAGAACATCCAGGTGGCCTTGTGGGACATTTAAAAGGGCGACAATTATTTCTTGTCCTTTATTTGGAGAGCTTGTTAGTAACACTCAGTTTACACATTTTACTCTTATTCAGTGTTTTTTATTATGTAGACTAAAGCACAAAAAAGCTTTATCTACAGCAAATGTTTGAGTTCGAGCCAAAAATGGCCAGCTACAGAACCTTTTTAAATGCAGGGTAGATGATTTGGTTCAAAAACTTTTTTTTTGTTAAGCTGGTTAAGTCACATCCCGATAGCAATCAATCACTGAGTTAAGTGGTCTAAATGTATTTATATCATCTGTGGAAGGCGTAGAAGCATAAAATGTTTGTCCAATCATATCCCTCGGTCCGAATGCTGCGATAAGCTGTTCTAACCTGCCTGTCAATGTATGTATTTGCCTACATTCACACGCCCTGTTCACGCAGACATGATACGTCATCAGTGCCGTCCATTACGCTACTGCAGACCGAGTGAGAATGGAAGGCGTTATTATTGTAATATTATGAACTTTGTACTGTAATGTTTTCTCGCCGGTGAATGAGACCGCATTCATGTGTTTTGGAGGAGGCGTGGCTTTGGAGAGTGATTTGCAGGGAGGGTGGGATCTTATGCTTTTAAAGCTAGCTTGCTATTGCTAGCCTCTCTGAAATTGGCCAATCTTTAAGGTATATAAAGAACATTTTATTATTTGGTTCTTCAGAAACCATGTTTCTCTGTAATGAAAAATCTTAAAAATAACATGAAGAACCTTGGAATCTTTCCATTCCGCATTCCGGTTCTTTATAGTGGAAAAAGACTCTTTAGATTATTAAAATGTTCTTTACACTAAGAAAAATTGTTATTTTCAGAACTGTTCACTGAAAGGTTCTCTGGGGAACCCAAAATAGTTCTATGGCATCACCCTTTTAGGATCTTTATATTTAAGAGTGTTAATGTCAAGAACTACTTTTGATCTCTATATTCTTGATAGAGCCTTGCATGTTAAAAAATAACCAATTAATAACTTTTATTTTTTTAGGGTGAAAGTTTGTACTTATCTAAGGATACGTTGACATGACACCGATGTAACAAAAACCGAAAGGTTTTTCCTTTGTGCTTTTGAAAAATTTCACGTACAAACACTGATCCATGAAAATGACTAAAAACACTTATGCATGCCTGGCCAGTAGGTGGCGATATCACTTTGTAAACAAACACTACATGCCTGCGCACATACACACATATGCCTATAGACTGAAAATGTAATGTGCATTACATCACCATTTTCACAAATTTGTGTTTTTGTAGTTTACTCAGAGATGATAACGGTATCGTTTCCACAGATTGCACTTTTTCAAAAGTTTGCATTTTTAGGCCCCCAAAATGCCATTGTTGTGAAAATGAATGGCAAAAATGTTTTCAGTCTTTAGTTGAAAACGGTGTTGTGTAAAAAAAACCCCAGAGAGTTTAGCTCTAACCTTGATCAAACTTGCCCTGTAACTTTCTAGTAATCCAGAAGGCCTTGATTAGCTTGTTCAGGTGTGATTGATTAGGGTTGGAGCTAAACTCTGCAAGGCTGGATTTGAACTGCTGTGTTTAAGGAAGCCTTGTGTAATCCTTCAAGGCTTCTGTTGTTCTACTTCAAGGTTCCTCTGAAATCTAATCAGGTTCTCTTTTGATCAGTGCTCTTCACTTGGGTTTAGTTTGGGATTGAACTTATTGACTGGTTACCTCATTTTCAAATAAGTTTGACAATTGATTTGTGAAATTGCATTTATCTGCAATTATCAATTGTAAATAAAACTGGAGGTAAATTTGTCTTTGGCCCAACTGTGAAGGTCACATAAACTATTCTCTTTTAGTGAACTTTCAGTTAAGAATTGTGAGGTTTCAGTTAGGATTTTGCCATGATGTGGGTTTGTTTATCTGGCAGAGTTCCTAGAGGACTAGGAGATTAGGTGAGGAAGAGCTATTTTCTTGAGATCATTAGTCAGTCAGTTCTCTGTGTAGCTCCGTTGTGCTCTAGAGTCACTTTTTCCATTTGTGTCCTTGTGCATTTGATATCAGGCAGATTTGTATGAATGTTTTCTGTTCAGGGACTGTTGGATAGAGGAAATCGAAAGGGTTTGAGTGGAGGGAGGCTTCAGATACAGTTATCTAATTCACTTTTTTGGCCAAGCTGTCACACGTGCAATGACATATATTCAAAATGTCCTCATTAAAGTCAACATCTAAAACAGGGTTTCCCAAATGGGGATATTGCAGGGGGTTTGTGATAGACTGTGGGAGAAATGAATGGCAAATAAATACAAATGTAAAGTAAACTAATATTTATTCTTTCATTAACAATTCTCTACTGCTTGTCTTTCAGATTCGACGACGAAGACCCACACCTGCCACTTTGTTCAAGGTAGCAGACCAAACATCTCCTGAGGATGACATCTCCACCCATCAGGTACCACACTGCCACCTCAGTGCTGGAGGTTAAACTACATTCATAATACATTCGCATGTAAAAGATGAATGAATGAACTATGTTGAATTTATGTATAGCTTTATGTTGTGTATATCCCTTACAATAAACATACTGTGGCCAAGTGATTATACAGTGATGATATTATAGATTATATACATATACTGTTGTATCTCTATGATACATGCTAAATAATACCATAGTAATATGGTAAAATTAATATATATAATTAATATATATAAAGCATTTTTCATAATAATTTCAAGATTTGTTCTTGCTGTTTTTTTATCCATTTACAATATTTACCAAAAAAAAATTTATATTCCTATCAGGGTTATTACCATTAAATAAAACTATAAAACATTTTCTTACTTGAAATAATATAAACATTAAATAAAATAAATATAAAATATTGTTGAATTACTAAAATAACAAACTAAATAAACTACAAACTTAAAAACTATATATATACGTATTAAAAAAGCTAATAAAAATGACAAAAACACAACAAAATTACTAAAACTCTAAAATAAAACGAAAATGAAAACAGAAAAAAGAATCAAATCTAATTCAAAATATTAACAAAAGCTATAATAGCATATCAATGATACTAAAATGATATTGTTAATTATTATTATTATTATTAAGATTAATAGGAATATTAATTAATTGTATAAGTATTATATGTAATGATTATTTTAATTTATATAATTATAATTTATGATTTTGCATGATGTTTGACCTATATACTTTATTGTAATATTAGTACATTATGATATTTGATATTATATATGTTTGACTTTCAGGATTTTTTTTACCTTTGTATAACAAAAATAATTGTGTAGGGTTGACACTTGATGTCCAATGTAAAATCAGTTGAGATATCTATACGTATGTGTGTGTGTGTGTGTGTGTGTGTGTGTGTGTGTGTGTGTGTGTGTGTGTGTGTGTGTGTGTAATATAATATAAATTAATATATAAATGATTAATATATTAATATAATAAAAATATTATTTATTTTGTTTTGTAAAACTGTACTTATATTTCAGA